TCTTTATAATTTTAGTATTAAACATCGCTTCCTTCGCACTTACGTAACGTGAAATTCAGCAGTAAAATCACAAAATTTTTAAAAGCAGCGTATTTTTAGAGCACTGAATAGACTGTTAAGTGTTGCCGTATATTTTCTTCCCCCCCCCCCGTCTGATGATATCTGTTCATCATATCAGTGTCTAGTTTTTCTTAGTAGTGTAATACTCTGGACTCTGAATCCAGCGATCCGAGTCCAAATCTCGGTGGAACCTCCAATTTATTAAAAGTTTACTTTTAATAGGCTTCCTTTTGAAATTCAATCTAAAAGCTCGTACTTGTATTAAAAATATATAATTTCTGGCGAGATTTAACTTCTCGAATACGAAATTCACACTAACCAATTGGAGAAAATTATTTAAACAACTTTGCCAGGTTGGCACAACATAATTTAATACTACGTCGGGTTGACGTTTTAACTCACTATTCACAAGCCTCGTTAGCTATAACTATATAAACACCTTTGCCAGTTAGGCAATACAATGGAATTTTACCAACGTCAGTTTGACGATTTTACTATCTATCTCCACGCCTGATTGGCGATAACAAAAATAATTTTTGCCAGTTTGGCAATACAACTTTTAGAATATACAATCTGTAATACGTCGGGATGACGTTACTATCTATCACACGCCTGGATGGCGAGAACTAAGAAAAAAACTTTTGCCAATTCTGAAGTATAATCAAATCACACTACGTCAGTTTGACGTCGCTACTTATTTTCCACGCGCCTGCTTGGCAACAAATTCAAAATTCAGCTAGCAGTTCTTTTTTTTTATAAACGCCGGGATGGCTTACACATATCAATTATCCATAAAAATTCAATACAAATAAAAGTTAAGCATAAACAATAATTTTAAAACACTTCTTTACCACAAATATCAATTATAAATTTAAGCTGAATATTTTTAGTGTCAGTTATTTTAAACAAAATTATACACGATAAACTATAATTCTGAAACAATCTATTAAAATTCAATAAAAGCTTTTTTAAGAAAACCCAAAGTTATTCTTATCTTCAGAGATCAGCAGTATCCTGTTTTGACAGATTTTTGCTCGGACGCAAGTTATAGAAGCACAGAAGATAACCTTTGAATGATCCGCTTCAAATCTGGCTTTAAAACGGCAGACTTCTTACATCCATTTCTCCTTGAAATAAACAAACTCGGCAATTGGTATTAGCAAACTTGTTCTAAAAAAATTCAGCAAATTTCTGGGATTAGGAGACCAGCACCATCAAAATTGATAATTGCACTCCTAATTTCCAGGATCTCGTGGAACCTCCAATTTATTAAGACTGTAATGTAGTTTGCAGTAATTTACAAAACAGACAATCTTCTTAGTAGAACATAAATTTTATTTCTAGTTCTCGGTGAAAGACAAATTTTATAAAATTCTTAAGTGGCAAAATTTTTAATACTACTCCTAGCTGCAAAATCTTCAGAATACTAATCTTTTTTTAACAATATCTCTCGTTGCTGAATAACGGTTTGATACAAATATGTCGTTGCCACTTCAACAATAATTATACTTATTTATTAAATAACAAGATATTACAGCAGGAATATCTTCACAACTATTTTTGCCTTCTTAACTTGATTATTAAGCATTACTTTTATCACTCTTATGCCGTATGAAATTCAACAGCAAAATTGAAAAATTTTCAAAAGTAGTCTATTTTTAGAATTCCCGAATGCTGCCGAAATCCTACTAAGGCGAAGAGAAACGCAAGACTACCAGCTATTCTCCATCTCGGATGCTCTTCGGTCGTGACCTTCGTCTACCTTATCTTTTGTTTGATCGCCCTCCGAATGCGCTTTCATCGCCTGAGGAATACATCCAAGATCTCCCAGGCCCGGTTTGAAGTGATGCACAATTTTGCACGAGAGCGAGTGAACTTGGCGAAGGAGAAGATGAAGACCCGATACCGACACGAGAGCTACTGGACATCAAATTCAACTGGACATCAAATGGTGTGGTTTTGGAAGCCGATTCGACGGAAAGGCCTCAGTCCTAAATTACAGCCACCTTGGGCTAATATATGAAAGAGATTGTTTGCCCGTTATATAGAAAAAGAGCCTTTCACGAAATCTTTCTCCTTTTTCCCAAGGGCCACCAGCGGCCGAGTGGTAAATTCGCTGAACACTGGTAGTTCGGATCTGGGTTCGAATCCCCACGAACACGGGCGTTTCAGTGGTTTTCCACATGTGTAACGTGTATACGAGCCAGTTTCCTTCAGAAAGTACTCGACGAACTCTCCCTTTAGGCGGATAACCTTCGAGGCTTCGCCGTAATCACATAACCAAAACCCCTAACCACTATATCCTCTGGGCGGGAGAAAAAAAGTATATAATTACCTCGAATACACGAAAATGGCCACGAAATGAAAATATGCGTAAGCGAAAAGAAGGCCCACCAGCAGCTAGGTGGTAAAAATTGCTGAACATTGCTAGTTCGGTTCGAGGTTTGAATCCAGCGAACGTTATTTCTCTGTAACAGTACCTTGCATTGATGCTTTACTGTATATTTTGTTTTTATTTGCATATGAAATGGCTATTCTGTATAATTCCATTATCTACTAGAAAATTTTTCTAAGTCCCGCACCCCATTTTTAAGGAAAATTTTTATCGATCAGCACATTAGGTTCAGAATTACTTTTTAAGTAATTTTACACTAAGCCCCCCCCAATTTTTAATTCTCAACCTAGAGACTCCAAATCTCATATACTAATTCCTCTCTAGATCCCATTGATTATCTTGCAATTATCACCACCCTATCTAACATAGTTCTGCAGTTATTAACGTTTTAATTCACTTTAATTTCATTTAATTAAGCTTTATTTCTCTTATTACTCTCTTCCTAACCCTCGAAACACTCTACAAATACTTTTGTCTGACTTTCCTCCCAATTTTCTTTCAGTAGACACCCATCATACAGTTAACCACCTCACAAGCCCTCCAACCCTTCTTTTCCCTTTTAATTGAGTTTTATACCTTTTTATTTCTCTGATTTCTCAGCTTCTAATTAACTTAGAATGTTCTAACCCTTTTTCCTAGCTTCCACTCTTAATTCCCTACCTATTGACACTCTTCATTAACCTCTGCCGCCCCCTTCTGTTCCGCCCCCTTTAATCTTATTTTATTTCTCTCACCTCTCGCCCCACTTTCGTCTCAAAGTCTCCGATTAACTTCTTTTGTTCTCTTTTCTTAATTCACTTCGGACCGACACTATTGTCCAACCTCTGACCCCCCCTTTCTTTTTCACTCCCCCTGTAACACAGTTCTCTCCTCTAATTACTCAATTTCTTTCAATCCTAGAACCTCCGAACAACCTTCATTCATCCTCCCTTTCACACTTTCAACTGCCCTTCCACACTTTCAACTGCCGCCGTTCTGTAAGCCTTTCTCATTTTCACCCTTTCAGTCCAGTCTTATTCTCTAGCCCACCTCAAATAAGGGATTTAGAGATTTTTCATAAATAATCACAATCATACATATTCGATAACTGTTATTGTTATTATTTTCATTCCTGTTTTCACTATCCAGATAGTGCACCGATAGACTATTGTATTTTTGTATCTATAGCATAACTGTACTTATGGCAATATAGTCAGAAAGTTTATTCAAATACACCGCTTAGCAGAATTTTGTTACCCAAGTATAATTAGCCTACTTGTATTCATACTCGGCTTTATAACTACCTTGTGTTCTGTCACAATTCAGTAACTATCCCAATTCAGTGCTTAACATACGCTGTACACACCTAATGCAAAATGCCTAAAGGTAATACGTCAATTCGCGATAGCGGACTGAACCTCACCTTGCTATTAAAATCAAACACCATCACGCACGAGAAAAAGGTAGCCACACTGTTTGAAGAGAGTGAATTCATCGCGAAGACCATTCAAAGCCGCAAATACTGCCTACCACAAGATCTACGCGATCGGATCCTAGTAAACCTAGAGGCATTTAAGACATTGGCACTACGGGGCCCAGATTATACAGTACCACCAGAAGTGACAGATTGTGCTACAAACACATTCAGCATACCCGCTACAGACGTGGCTACAAATACATCTCAAGCTGATTCCATTGATATTATCTCTAACTTACTAACGCAACAGCCTAAATCTTTCGCAAACGCATTGCGACAGCGCAAGAAACCAAGTATAATAATCCAACCTAAAGGTAGCAAACACAGTCAGAATTACGTGAGGAACTAGAACAGAAGGTTCCAATCGGGAAACTACAAGTCGCGGTTGAAAAGATCACTCCCACCTTCAAAGGCGGACTAAAGGTATTCTGCAACTCAGCAGCATACTTACACAAACTCGAGGAGCACATACTTAAAGGCAGCAGTCCAAGCAGAAGTCAAAAGAAGGCAGCGACGAAAACCCCGCTGTGTTATCCATAATGTCTCAGACACGGTCAAGCCAGAAGAGATTATCGCGGAAATTAGCGCAGCAACCAATGTCTCAGCAACTACCTTCAAAGCGGCCTTCAGACTCAAGGACAGACGACCAAACAGAGTCAAATGGGTACTCGATTGTGAACCCAGCAGTTTTGCTGCGGCAATCCGAGCACGAAGGATCTTCACAGGGTGGCAGCACAACTTCAGCGAGACAACACAGACTACTGAACAGCCTGTTCAAGTACTGCAAAGACAGCCACAAGATACCTCAACTCCTCAAACCGCTAAGCAAGACATCATTAACAGGACGGTCAAAACTAACCCTCAGCCAATCAAATGTCTGTAAATCAATCTACAACGGGCAAAGGCCGCAACTGCCAAGCAGTTGTCTTCGCAACTGAGCAAAAGATAGATTTGTTATTCATACAAGAGCCTTATACCCGAAATGGACAGGCGGTGGGCTTTCCATTACAATGGCATATATTCCAAAAACCGAACCCCGAACAACCCCTAAGAGCTATATTGATCTGCTGCAACCCAGACTGGTTACTTATGATAATAACCTTAGAACGCGACAATGTAGCTATTCTACTGGAAGTTAATAGTCTCATAATAGCATTAGCCTCACAGTACTCATCTCCAGCAGAAGACCTAAACATCCTTCTGGAATCGACCAACAAGATCCTAAATCACACTAAAGTATATAAGTTACTATTGGCAGGAGACTACAACGCACATAACACTGGCTGGGGTTATGCTACTACTGACTGAAAAGGCCGTCTGCTCGAGGATTACATCTCCTCACAAAACCTCGTAGTGCATAACACACTCATCGCTCCACCAACATTTGACACATTATTCGCACAAGGTTGGCCAGACCTCACGATGTCTACCTCATCAGCAGCACATCTAGTCCAAGCCTGGACGGTGGCAGAGGAAATAAGCCTATCAGACCACAGATATATTACCTTCAATATTGACAATGCCACTTCCGTTACCATCATTAGAAGATATAACCTTCCGGGCAGGAAAATTCGCCCATTTACACGAGACATTCGCACAAAACTCAAGTCCCTAGAAACCCTGCTGGATCACGCTTATACACAAGAGCACATGGAAACGCTCACAAACAAAATAATGGAAACCATCCAGGCCACGTGTGAAATACATCTTCCAGTCAGAACCTCAAAACGACTGCATACTCTAAACTAGTGGTCAGGAGAACTGCGCACACAGCAGCGCAAATGCCGAGCTCTAAGGAGACGCCTCAAGCAGGAACGGCAAAATAATCAAGCCACAAACAACCTTTCAACATTTCAAAGAGAACGAGCTGTCTATAAAACGCATGATTATACAGGCCAAGATAAATGCATAGAGGAACTTCTGCACAACAATCACAAATACATACGAAATACATCATAAAATTGCAACAGGAAAACTTTTCAAACCCACGCACTTTCATCTCCTCTCCACAACAAATATATCGGATAACCTTACTACAGACACGTTGGAAAGAATTATAGACACAGTCTTTAGTCAGGAAAATGCGGCGGATGACACTGTTCAACATGCAGCAATAAGAATAGTGACACCAATACAACAGCTCCAGCAGATGCAGAATTCAATCACCTTGAAATCAAACAAATCTAACTTAAACTCCCACGAAGGAAAGCTCCCGGCCCAGACGGGATTAATTACGCCATTGCAAAATGACGGCACATCTCACGTTCTTCGTAGTTTACTTCAATAAACTTCTGGTCACAGGTACCTTTCCCAGAGCTTTTAAGATCGACCAGGTGGTCTTCTTTCTAAAGAAAAACCGAGACCCCACAGATCCTGGTTCATATCGGCCAATATGTCTACTCGCAGCCTTGGGAAAAATTTATGAAAAGCTACTTATGAACCGGCTAAGACACCACCTACACCAAATGCAATATCTCAGCTCAAGGCAGTACGGATTTCGAACGGGATCCTCAACACTGAACGCACTGCATGACATCAGAGAATCAATTCTGCATAACAGAAACAATGGCCTCCATACAGCATTGATAAGCATCGACCTTCGGAGCGCTTTCGACTCTCTATGGTGGCCGGCCATCAAACATGCACTACGCCAGGCAAACTGTCCATCCAACATCTACCATACACTGTGCATACACTGTGAAAATAGCATGTCACAGAACGCCGCTTAATAGTAATCCATAATAGCGGAATCATCCAAAAAGATCAAACAAGTGGCTGCCCACAGGGCTCATGTGCCGGACCACATTTATGGAACATCACGTTCAATAACGTCCTTACAACATCATGGCCCTCGCACACAAAAATATTCGCTTGTGCCGACGACGCCGCACTTGTGGTCAGCGGGAAAACAAGAGACGTATTGCAGACACACTCTAACGAAGTCTGCAGACAATTCCAATCACTATGCAACTCCCAAAAACTGCAAATAGCAGAGAAGAAATCAAAAATACTTCTAATCCCTAAAAAAGGAGGATGTCTGACACGCCGCCCAAGGATCACTCTCAACGATCAAAGGATACCCATAATAAGATCCCTGAAGTATCTAGGGCTCACATTTGATGAAAAAATGATGTGAATACTCCCCATATTAGACATTAAATAGCGTACGACCATCATCGCAAAACAACTACGTCGACATCAAGGCTTTCAATGGGGATTAAACCCCCACATACAAAAGACACTGTACCTTACAGTAGTTGAGAAAATAGCATCCTACAACGCAGCGATATGGGCCTACCCCATGCAAGGCAGAAAGACAAGGCACCTATCCACAGTACAAAGACCTTTCGCCCTTAAATATTACTAAAGCTTATCGCACGACATCATCATCCGCCTTAAACGCACTAGCAGGATGGCTTCTTCTACACATACGTATCGAAGAAGAAGCCGCACGACAGCTCGTCAAACAACTGAAACGTCCAGTAACCTTTGACGACGAGCTTTTTCTACCAGAGGATTTCGAACTACAGGCCACACACCTGCACATTCATCCCAGCACCAAGGGCAGAGGCGTCCGAATCAAGGGTATCACTACGGTATTGGAACAACCGTCAGATAACACAGTGTATACTGACGGCTCTAAAATTGACAACAAACTGGGCAGTGCCTTCGTTGCCTTGTGTCCACCAATAATAATACACAAATGGCAAGGAGCCCTTAGGGACTTTAATAGTGTTTTCCAAAGTGAAGCTATAGCCATGGAACAGGCCATACAATATCTACAACAAAAACAAATTAGGGAAGCAACCATTAAGACAGACAGTCTATCCGTTGTACACGCCATTAATAATGCGGAACATTCATTACCCACCATAGCATCCATACAACAAAGATTGCGAGACAACAATGTACAGTCCTACATGCTGGAATGGACTAAGGCACATGTAGGAGATTACGGAAATGAGATGGCAGACAGTCTAGCTAAGGACGCGGCTCTAGGTGGAACTTCAGGTCCAGTCAACATTCCCTGGCCAATTTCCCACCTCAAAAAATCCTTGAGACTCCACGCTACGTCTAAATGGCAGGAAGAACGGGATCAAGGAGAGACAGGACGCATAACTTACTATCACCTATCATATGTTGCTCCGGGAAGGACTATAAGTAATCCACAGCTCATACGCTACATTACGGGGCATGGTCCCTTCCCATAGTACTTTGCAAAACGCGGCATCAGTGAGACGGATATATGCAGCTGCGGAGAAGTGGGAACTCCAAAACACTATGTCACAACATATCCACTAACAACTGGACTACATACACCCATCCCGCAGACCAATCGCCAAGCGTTCTGTAAATTTCTTATAAAGCAACGTCATTTCATATACAAACTAACAAAAGTAATGGATAAACTCTCTGCGCTTGCCACAGATCTGTGTCAAACAGCCTAAAGGTGTGCAGCAGCATACAAACATGCTATTCAGGTCGATGCAAAACAAGACAGAGTATATTTCGTGCTATTTCTAACATGCACAATTATTACAATGTACATATATTGAGTACACATTGAGTTATTGTGAGTATATTGGTGTATAAATGGTCAGTATAAAATCATGTATATATAATAAAAAGTCAACTGTGCTATGTATCTCAGCTAAATGTATAATATATCAGTATTATGTATATATCAGTATAGTGTATATAATATATAGTATAATGTATATAGCAGCATAGTGTTTAATGTATCAGTATAGTGTATAATGTAACAGTATAGTGTATAATGTATCAGTATAGTGTATATAACGTATAATGTATGAATAATTTACATGTCATAAGTTCTGATGTAAGACATACGAACCATTGCAACACGGTATTGCCCTTGGATCACATGTAAATCTTAATATAATTTCCTATATCTAAAATATTCCCATGCACATAATCAAACTAATGTAATATGCATATTTTAAATGTATTTGTCTCTGTAAATGTAAGATTATGTACTATGTACCTTATTTGTAATATGCCATCATACGTAATATGTACCTCAATTGTAACATGCTGTATAAAACAAAATATTATTGTATGGCAATGTACTATCTGTCAAGGCCCTTGTATGGCACTGTATTTTAAATCGGTGACTGGTGTCAGGGGTTCGTGTGGCCCCTCGCCCTTCCCCATACCATCTTGGGGTGCTCTAGACAAGGGGGACGCGGCGCTATACCAATTAACCGCTATGGTAGAGGGGTGGTGCTCGCGTCCTCCGTCACTTATCACACTGAGAGATTTAAAAGCAACAAGCGCCGCCCAACCGGTATAGTGGTTAGCATCGTTGACTGCCGTGCCGAAGAGCCCAGTTTCGAATTCCGGAGAAGGCATGGATGTCTGTAAATGTATAGTGTCCATGCGGCATGCTGGCACTCTAAATATGCGAGGAGCCGAAAGTCCTCTCGTGTGGTTTGGTGGAAGCGGAGAGGGGTGGGAGACCTTCGGGCACGTCCACCCCGGCTCCCCGGTCTATCAAAATTGGGGGAGAAACTGAGCAAAATCGCACTTTGTATGGTGCTCAAGGCTGTTGCCAACGGCAGGTGTATCTTGTGCGCTCCTTACCACGAAGAATATTGTGGGCTTGGGCTGATGTTGCTGTCAGTCAAGTGAGCATAAGTAACAACACAACAAAAGCAACAAGCGTATTCCTGAATAATTTGGAAGCCCGTCCGCGTTCTAATCGGGAAGTCTAGAGTTCGAATCTCAAAGAAGACTTTGCTAACTTTTCACATTCCATGCTCCAATAAAAATTTTAATGAATCTATAAGTGGGTCTGCACTTAATTGTGTAGTGATTAATTGATTAATTACGGTACGTCGATAATTCTTCACCACTAGGATTTAGTGAATGGGTCTTCGCCTCTGTAGTTGCCTTTTAAGTGGGACAGAATATAAGGTTTTTATTCCCCCATTATGACGTGTCTTTGTAAGCATGTCCTGTTGGCAATCGCAAAGTTCGGAGTTCGAATCCCGAAGAGGGAACTTCACATTTTTCATGTTTCCTGCTTCGACAAACTTAATGATTCAGTAGTGTTGACTATTGTTTCTTAATTTTAAGTTGCAAATTACAAGAAATAGTCTGTACCTTTTCATTGAGTTTAGTTCTTGTCTATATTACGGAAATTTAATTAAATTTCTATTTAATTGTTAAGATGGCAATTTGTTTGAAAAATATAGGCGAAACAAGTGCCAATTAAATAACTAATTCGATTAAATTTTACACGTATTGCTGATGTGGCATTAACAGTACTATTTCAAATGGATCTGTCAGCACTAAAATACCCAAAATATAGTCCAGAAGTGTGATGATATGATTTCCTGTCGTTTATACTATTGAAAAGGGAATAAATAGTTCTCTTTAGATGAAGAAACGAAAATCGTCACGCCCGTAATACTAAAAAGGATGCCAGAAAAAAAATTTATTTCCCGTTTCTGAATCGATCATGAAATGCTATGAAAAGTATAATTCAATCTGAAGGACTACCGGGGAAAAAAATCAGAGCTTCTAGACTCATCTTATTTTGAATAAGAGAATCAATCACAACTCTTAATCAGCTTACTTATAACTATTATTGCAGCATTAAAAAAAGTGTCATAGAAAGAAAGTTAACTCTACATGAGTCTGCTTTTATAATTTTGTAAGAAAACTAAAAATTCTCGAATCTCCAAAGTGCTCCAAAGTGTTTTGAGAGTTCGCGCAATAAAAATTTTTGGAGACATTTTGCCACTAGCTATACACATTCCTATTTGAGAAACACTAGTTTGCTTTCGATTTGCAACTTTGCCTTTTTTAAAAGTATAATGTCTGTCGTGAGGAATAGAAATAACTCAGCCATTTACCATATTTATTTTAATACTGTAAATTAGAAATGAAGACGGAATTCTTTAAAAACAGGAACATGCATATATATATATATATATATATATATATATATTTATATATATACGTATATATTGTAAATTTCACTTATAAAGCTTAGAATCGGATTCAAACATTTAAGTATGAAATGATTTAATTTATTGTATCAAATCTATTTTATTCATTTGATACTGTATCATTTTTATTCAAGTTAAAAGCTAAGACATCTTTCCTTCAGTTCAGACAGTAAGTTGCGCTATGACATTTTTAAATAAAAATTTGAAAGTAAAAAATCTACCAGTCTGCTGTTACATTCACGCCTACTAACCACTTTTTTTGTTTGTTGTTATTTTAGCTTTATTGTTAAGCACAATTTTCTTCGCAGTTACGCCACATACAGTTCAACAGCAAAATTACAAAAATTTTAAAAGCTGCATAGCGGTATACGTTAAGAATTCCCGATGCAGCGTTAAGTTGTTGGCATATATTTTTCTATTTCAGTCTTTTCTCAGTTCATTATATAAATGTTCAATTTTCTTATTAAGATTGCTTTCCAAAGCGTTTCTTTGTCTTTTTATTATAAACGTTTCGTGTGTTTACTTTATTTATTTAATATTACGTTATTGGCGTTTACACCACATAAAAAATTCTTTTCAACAATAAAATCACAAAATATTTAAAAGCAGCATATCTTTAAAATTTTCGATAGAGAGTCTCGTAGGCGGGAGATAAAAAATTTTTTATTCCCGCGCAGTGTTCTCACTGGTCGCTTTGAGTTTGTTAATCAAAAATTTCTTAAAGTTTTACAAAATGGGATATAGACAATAAGACGAATTCGAAATTCAAAATTCGGGCTTCCAAGGTGCCCATGTTCGGGTGGAGGATTACGTTATTCAAAACTGGATGGCTCTAGGTCCCGTTATTTTTTCAGAATGAGAAAAACATGCATACATTCCCTCAGATTCCTCATTATTAAATTTCTTTAAATATAATACAGGGCGATAATATTTGGTTGTAGCAATTTAAAAAGGGTGATACGCCTAATAAAATCTTTGAATGTGTTTTATTTTAATTAAAGTCGTTTAAAGTCGTTTATTGTTTAATGTGGTAAATACTTGATACATTTAAAAAAATTGTGAGGTCCGTCTCTTAATAACAATAACTTGTTACATTTTGCTAATTTTCGTGCATTGAGGTTACAGACTTCTTGCATATGAAGGACGAAATATAAATAACTTCCTTAACGCGTGGAACAAAGTTATGGGAAAATAATATGAAGGTCCTTCTAATAGTTTTCTTGAAGTGCTCATTATGTTAATGTGTGTCAATTTTTTAAACTGAAATTTCCTGCTGGTTTTAATACTTAATGGTTAGACGAAAAATAAGTAAGATATGTATGTGGAAATATATATGCGTTAATTTATGAAAATGAACTTTAAATAATATATTGTACTTGCTTAAATAACCTGTACTGTATTTATTTATAGGCACTTTCTGCAAAATTAATGGCATGAAAAGAAATTTTGGGTTAAATCACAAGTGTTTTGTATTTTGGTATAAAATATATTTTGCTTAAACATTTCAAAATGTCTTCAATGATTTCATCAAGACGGCCTTTGCTTTGCTGCTGTCGATAACCATCGTATCTAAATGCTTTAGTTCCCATGCCGTAGCTGGCCGGATGCTTAGACACTGATATTCTTTTGAACTTCTAAGTAAAACAATGCACCTGAAAAGTGAAAAGAAAAAAGATTTGCTTAGCAAGAAATTTAGTTAAAAACTTTAGTAAGATATTACAATAAATACATAGAAAATTAAAATTTAACTAAGACACGTTAGTGAGATAAATATGTAGAAATTTTAAACTCAGTTTAATAAAATGTACATAAGTTAGTTTTACATTGCAGGATATTTAGTTACATGCACTAAAAAGTAAAAAAGTCATTTTTTGGACTAGCTACGTAGTACTACTAGTTGTTATAAAAAGCATTTGCTATAAAAATAGTTTCTCTAAAAAAGATATAATAACAATAATTTTAATGAATCCGGCTAATTTCATTGGTACAGCTAGTAACTAATAATATTAAATGAGTCTGAGTTTATTGCTTTAAAGTTGTCATTAAGAACCGAATAAATTTGGAAAGAAAATTAAATACTATTTTAGCTTTGCTGACCGACAATACACTGCCGCGTGGAAGATAAAAATGTTTTATTTCGTTCGAATGAAACAAATTTAACAAATATATTGAGCTTTATCGAGTAGCAACACACTTAGCTTACATTGTTGAATTTTCTGATTAAATTTGAAATATAAATATCTTACACTTTCATGAATGAGAACACCAAGATTTTATATTACTGAGTCTTTAATCAGATGTTCCTCATATTCGCACAAAATAACAAATACAGTGGAACCTTGAGATACGGGCACCTCTATATACGAGAAATTCGAGATACGAGTAAAGTGTGAGCGAAACATTCGTCTCTAAATAGGAGCATTGAACTCGAACGAGCAATGAGCCAGGCTATTGGTATTCGTGGCGCCATTTCCCGATCTGGCTCAACTCGGGTAATCCCCTCTAAAGATCACTCAGTGTTCTTTGATCTACATGTTTGTGCGCTTATGAGTTAATTATTTTTTACATTTAACGTGAAAATAATTATTTCGCGATGCCTGCCAAGAAGATTGTTGCCTCAGATAGAGCTGCAAAAATAAAAAGAAAGAAGCCATAGCCGTTGAAATTAAGAAAGAAAACTTAGATAAACATAAGTGTGGTATAAGGGTGACGGAATTGACGAGGACTTATGGCCTTTCGACATCGACAATCTGCACTATTCTGAAGAAGAAGGAAGAAATTAAGAAACTTGATGTAGCCAAAGGAGTTACCGTTACTTCCAAGCACCGTTCAAAACACTTAGAAGATGTTGAAGTGTTCCAAAACATTTTGAAGCCGTTTTTGCTCTGGATCAACAAGAAGCACTTAAAAGGCGATTCGGTGCCCGAAGCTATCATAAAGGTAAACTACGATTATATTATTTACCTGTATTATTTATTAGAAAAATTAACTTTTTTGTTGATAATTTTTGGAGTGCGGAATGGATTAACTGGATTCCCATTATTTTCAATGGGGAAGTTTGTTTCTAGGTATGAGAAATTCGCTACACGAGCTCAATGCTGGAACGAATTAAAATCGTATCTCGAGGTTCCACTGTAAATAAAAAGTAAATTCGAAATTCAAAATTCAGGCATTAAAATGGATATGTTTGGGCGAAGGACAAGGTGTTTTCAACATTTGATGATTCTAGGTACTGCCAATTTTCAGCACTGCGAGGCACATACAAATGTACAGACTCTTTATTTTTTAATATCAGAGATGTCTATAAAATGCATTACTACTGTATTTTAAAACTACCCGTCTTTTTCAAAACTGAGAGCGGAAATGAGCGAAGTCGTATTATCACTTGTCTGGTGCTCAAGGCGTTTCCCAACGAAACAAGCCCACGAAATGTGACCATGAATTTCGTAGGATTGTTCTGATATCACTGTCAGGCAAGTGGAATAAGACGCAAAAACGCTTATGTATTAATGATAACTAATAGTGCTAGCAATAAAAGTGAAAAATGCTGATTTTAACAGTAAACAGCAAAGCATGCTTGTTGAGATCTCCCATAGAGAGCGTTGTAGCACCCCTCAACTGTGTGAGAAAAGTTCCGATAAGAGAGAGAGAGTTGGCGTGGGGTTTGAGAATGTAGTGTGAAGAGCTGTGTAACGCGTATTTGCTGTGTAACTGTATTATGTAATATAATGTAATTAAATGTATTTATTTAAAATGTGGAGCAATTTTGAAGGAGCATACTTCACATTTTTTTTGGAGCCACCAGTGAGGACAGAGTCGGTCTTGGAAGCTGTGGATTCTAGTGGTTTAGTTGCAAGCTTTGTTTGGGAATTTGTGGAATTTTGCAGGAAAGGTAGGCTTTGTTTTGATGTTTTGTTTGAAATTTGAATTGTTGTAAAATGTCGGAATTACCTAAGTTGAGAAAGGAGATTAGCGCAGTTAGGTCTACGTTAACTAAGTTAATTAACAAAGTTGAAGCTTTTATTAAGGAAAATTCTACCGAGATAGATGTTACGAATGAGGTAGATACTTTAAAGGAATTTCGAGCACAAATAATAGATAAGGAAACTAATTTAAAACGATTAAACGATGAAGTGAAAAATTTTTGTAATTGTGATGATATAGAAGAGAAAATTACTGTGTCAGAGGAATATTCAGAAAATTATCCTCTGGAAACAAAAGATAACTAATGTAATTGATAGATTAATGAAAGATGAAATGAATATTAGTAACGTATCCTTTTCTATTCCCGAAACTGCTCAAGGTACACTAGAAAACCAAACCTTTAGAGAAACCAAAACAGTTAAACTTCCTAAATTAATAATCAGTAAATATTATGGTGATCCTGCTTTTTGGTTAGAATTTTATAACCAGTTTGAAAGCGCTATCCACAATAACAGTAATCTTTCAAAGATAGATAAATTTAATTATTTAAGGTCATATTTAGGGGGTACGGCATCTACTTGTATAAGTGGTTTTGCGTTAACAGAAGAAAATTATGATGCTGCTTTGGATATATTAAAAGGTAGATTTGGTAATAAGAATACTCTTATACAGACACATCTGAATGAGTTACTTAAAATTCCTATTATTAAAAGTATAAATGATTTGGATGGATTGAGAAGGTTGTTTGACAAAGCTGATACTCAAATTAGAAGTTTAGAGTCGTTAGGAGTTGAAACAAAAATCTTTCAGCACTTTATTGATTCCCATTTTGTTAGAAAGAATTCCAAAGGAACTTGTTTTAGAATTCAATAGAATGTATCCAGATAGTGATTGGAATTTTAAGGATCTATTTACCTTTCTAGAGAAAGAGATACAGTCTAGGGAAAGGACATATTTATTTAGTAGAAAAACTGAAAATTATCATAATTTTGGTAATGAATGTAAAAGTAATTCTAGGAAATTTGAAAATAAAAAGCTTAATACTAATAGGAATATATCAACTGCTAGTTATACTACAAATGTTAATAGAAACTGCATATTTTGTAAAAGCAAAGAATATGAATTTTGCGAATTTGAAAGTGTCGCGGAAAGGAAAAATAGATTACAAAGAGATAATCGATGTTTTCGCTATTTCTCAAAATTCCATTTAGCGCGATTCTGTAAAACTAAACTCGACCCATGCAAGAACTGCAACAGCTTAGCTCACCACTCCTTGCTATGCGAAAAAAGTAATAAATCAGCTGAAGTCGAAGGGGGAAAAGAGAATTCAAACGCGGTGACTCAGTGCAGCTCCTCTCAGCGGCGATCAAATGCCAGTGCTTTACTGCAAACTTTGTACTGTCTTGGCTTGTTCGAAAGGGAACTTTAAACTATGTCGGGTGTTAATGGATAACGGGAGTGAAAGATCTTGAATAACAAAATATTCGGCAGATGCCCTTAGCCTTAAAACCATTCGAAAGGAAAGATTGTCAGTTTATGCTTTTGGGTCTACGAAAGCCATAAATAAAACTTACAGTGTAGTAAAGTTAACAATGAGGAATAGGAACGATCCTAAGAAATATATTGGGATAGAAGCATTAGTTACTGAAATGATTACTGCCGCACCCATTGCATTTCCCAATATAAATATTCAAAATATTTTTGAGCAAAAGGGTTTAAATTTAGCTGAGGCATGCATGGATTCAGATGAAGGTATTCTAATTTTAATAGGAGCAGATTATTTTTGGGACATCATTAAAGAGTCGAAAGTAGAAAAAATAACCAAAACGCTAAACTGCATACAAACTATTTTTGGCCTTACCCTCCAGGGCATATAAAATAATTCTGAGGATAAAATTTGGGGAAACATAGCATCAACAAATTTTTGCGTTGGTACCGATATGCAGATGCTATGGAATTTAGAATCGTTAGGAATTACAGATTCTTATAAGTTATCAATTGCAGATGAGAATTTGATAAAACAATTTGAAGATAATTTGAGGTTTGTAGATGGAAGATACGAAACTTGTTTGTTATGGCGAATAAAGCCAACGGATTTAAAAAATAACTTTTGTCTTGCTAAAAAAAGACTTGAGGACTTAAAAAAACAATTTCGAAAATAATGAAGGGTTGGCGAATGAATACAAGGACATAATTAAAGATCAACAGAGTAAAGGAATAATTGAAGAATGTTCTAGGGATGCGAAGGAGTATTTAATAGAGCAGTTGTGAGAACCGAAAAGGATACTACTAAAGTTCGCGTGGTTTTCAATTGTAGTTCGAAAGCGAAACTAAATCTCTCTTTGAATGATTACTTAGAGATAGGGCCGAATTTGAATCCCAATGTACTGGATGATATTTTAAATTTTAGGAAATTAAAAATTGCATTTTGTGCTGATATAGAGAAAGCATTTTTGATGATTGGAATTTCAGAAGAGGATAGGAAATTTTTAAAATTCTTGTGGTTATCAGAGAATACAAATGAAGACTACAAAATAATGCGTATGACACGTTTGCCGTTCGGTTTTAAGTCATCGATATTTATTTTAAGTGCAACAATAAAAAAGCACTTAAAGCAGTACAGGAACCCAAATGTGTTGAAATTTTGAACTCTTCACTGTATGTGATGATTTATATTTTGTGGAAAATAATGTTGAAGAGGCATTTAAGCTGTCTTCTGAAGCTGTGTCGATTTTAAAGGATGCAAGTATGATTTTGCGAAAATTAAAAACTAATTCTGAGAAACTGAGGTCATTGTGGATGCAGAATGGACTTAGCTATGATACTTGTATTTCTGACTGTCAGTTGAAGGTTTTAGGCTTGAAGTGGAATCCAGCAAATGATAAATGTTCTATAGACATAGCAAGATTAATGGATAGTTTAAAGAGTTTGAAGAGCACAAAGCGTTATATCTTGCATGTTGCAGCAATGATTTTGATCCAATTGGTTTTACAACTCCATTTATAGTTAGGATTAAGTGTTTGCTACAGGAAATTTGGGAACGTGGTATTGGTTGGGATGAGAAATTGCCAGATGACCTTAAAATCAAATCGACTAGCTGGTGTTCTGAGGTTAAATATCTGAAGGATATTTCAGTTCCGAGAAATTTATTTGTGCACTTGTGATAACTTAAATTCAAAAATGGAAATACACGTATTTTGCGATGCGTCTCCTATAGCTTATGGTGCTGTAGCGTATTGTCGTTGCTTAAATGATAAGGGTAACATTTCCGTGTCGTTTGTCATGTCGAAAAGCAGAGTAGCTCCTTTGAAGAAATTGACGTTGCCACGATTGGAACTAATGGCAGCAGTCATAGGAGGTAGAACAGGAAAATATCTGGGAGAGGTTTTTAATGATCTTATTGATAAATTTGTGTATTGGACTGATTCCTTAATTGTCTTGTTTTGGATAAAGGGTTCTGCGAAACAATGGAAACAGTTTGTCGGTAATAGAGTGGTTGAAGTGCAGGAAAAATCAGATCCCAGGTCTTGGAATCATTGCAGTGGAAGGGAAAATCCTGCTGATTTAGTTAGTAGGGGTGTGCCAGTTCAATGTTTTTTGGAAGGTGATCGTTGGTGGTGTGGTCCATATTGGCTAAAAGGAAAAGATAATTTTTCCCTCAGCATCCACTGAAGGATATCCCACTAGAAGTAGTAGAAACTAAGAAAAAGGGATGCGTTGTGCATACTACTGTGATTAAGAATTTTGTGATTGATGAACTGCTTCATAAATATTCTTCTTGGACAGAACTTTTACGTGTTATAGCTTGGTGTCTCATATTTATTGCCAATGTGAAACGATCATCAATAACAAAGACAAAATCAAATTTTCTCCAGACTGGAGAGCTAGCCGTAGCACATTCTTGGGTAATCAAGTCTGTGCACATGCAAGAATTTAGTGAAGAAATCGATCATTTGAAAAAGAGAAAACTAGTGAGTCCCCGCAGTAAACTCAATATGTTGAATACATTCTTAGATGATGAGGGTATTCTAAGAGTGGGAGGACGACTAAGAAATGCTAGCATCGCACAGAACGTAAAATATCCAGTCATTCTGCCTAAATCACACTATATTACAGAACTGATAATACGATATTACTATAAATATCTTCACGGAGGAGCACAAATGCTCCATTCAGAAATCAAGCAGAGATACTGCATTATATTAATGCACGATCAGCTATTCGTAAGATCATTCCTAAATGTGTAACATGCTGTCGACACAGTAGTGAGCTGTCATATCAAGCAATGGGTGATCTTCCAGCATACAGAGTGAATCCCGCAAGAGCTTTTTCGAAATGTGGTGGGGATTTTTCGGATCCTTTCCAAGTTAAACTGAGGAAAGGGAGCGGTGTTCGGACAGTGAAAATCTACGTTTGTGTTTTCGTATGTTTTAGTACTAAGGCAATGCATTTAGAACAAGTTGGAGACATGACGACAGATTCCTTCATAGCCTCTCTAAAACGATTCATTGCTGGACGTGGAAGACTGGAGGAAATGTATAGTGATTGAGGCACTAATTTTATAAGTGCCAACAGACAACTGAAATCATATCGTTCGAACCAAAGGGTAGCTAGATACTTAACAGAGGAAGAAATTAAGTGGAATTTCAATCCGCCTTCTGCGCCGCACTTTGGTGGACTATGGGAAGCCGCGGTAAAGGCTATGAAATATCATATTAGAAGAGCAATTGGTTCTCAAGTTCTAACTTTTGAAGAATTTACTACTTATCTAGCAGAAGTCGAGGCATGTCTGAACTCAAGACCATTAGTAGTGATTTCAGGTGATCCAGATGATTTTTCCGTGATTACACCGGGTCATTTTTTAATAGAAACATCATTAAAGGCTATTCCGGAACCAAATGTGTGCGACGAGACACTAACACTTCGCAATCGTTGGAAACTAGTTCAGCAAATGTCGCAGTGCTTCTGGAGGAAATGGTCTAAGGACTATTTGACTCAACTGCAAGTTCGCACAAAATGGCATCGTGCTTCAGCAAATAATAAAGTAAATGACTTAGTAATCATTAAGGAAGATAACACACCTTCCTTAAAATGGAAACTGGGACATATCACCGAAATATACCCAGGTAATGATTGCAGAGTTCGTGTTGTAAAAGTAAAAACTGCTGATGGTGAATTCAAGAGACCCATTCACAAACTGTGTGTGTTACCAATAGACAGTTAAGTATCGTGAAAAATCTTGAACTTTAACTTGATATTCATCGATATTCATTTGAATTCTTGACGTTTTAATGTTATTATGTTATTACTTATTTATGTTATTCATTTTGTGTAATTGATTGTTTACATTTATATGTTGTTTAGGTTTAGTATTACTCATTTATAAGCAAGAACTATTTAATCTAGAAGTTATATGTTTACTAAGAATAATGCTAAGTAATAATTTCATGTAAGAGGTAGTTTGATGTCCTGAACGGTCATCCGTGGGGAGTATGTTGAGATCTCCCATAGAGGGCGTTGTAGCACCCCTCAACTGTGTGAGAAAAGTTTCGATAAGAGAGAGAGTTGGCGTGGATTTTGAGAATGTAGTGTGAAGAGCTGTGTAATGAGTATTTGCTATGTAATTGTACTATGTAATATAATGTAATTAAATGTATTTATTTAAAATGTGGAGCAATTTTGAAGGAGCATACTTCACAATGCTTTTCACTCGTCAAGGATAATACAGCTTCATGAAGCATTGTTAACAGATTACTAAGTCTACGACAAAGCACAATAGGACGTTTTGCTTAAGAATAGCGATGTCTTCGTGAAGGACTTTTAATGGAAATAAGCTCCTATTTACTTTGCATATTGGGAAATTCACGAAAAGT